TCGATCCAGGGCCCTGGACGCCGCCTCATTCCAGGCCGCAACCAGGGACCCGGACGAGTTGTGGACAAGGGAGTCAGGTATTTCCCCAAGCTCCTCCTGGAACCGATCTGGGTCCATTAGGCGCCTGGGGCGGAACCACCTAGTCGGCTCCCTCTCCCTGCGAATGAGCTGAACTGATGGCAGTACCGCACAAGCCTGAGCAAGAGATGGTTGGAACTGCAGGGCTGTCAGGCTCAGCGGAAGCGCCAGGATCAGTGCCGCTTTCCAGCTGATCAGCACTTCTTCGGGGCTGTCAGAAGCGCCAATCAGCTGGAATGTTGCAGCATCTCCAGGGTCTTGTGATTTACACAAGACATTACACAAGCATTATAACTTTAATGCTTGGCAACTGATTCATATTTATGATGGTCACAGTGTCCCAAGGTCATGTGAAGTGACAAAAACCTGCTGCAACCATCCAGCAGACGGGGGGAATAAAAACCAAACACCCCCCACCCCACCCCCACTGCTAATCCTCAACAGAAATGCTCACAACAATGAAAACTTCGGACAGAAGGACAGGCAGGTATCTTGCTCAGGCGGACAGGCAGGTATCTTGCTCAGCTGTGGCTTGGGTGGCACTTTTTCAGTGCTATTGTAACTTCAAACAGTCACTAAGCAAACTGTTGTAAGTCGAGGACTACCTGAACTTCATCACTTTTTTCCTTTTGGGGGGGGGGTCATCAAGTTTTGACACCTTGCTAGGAGACTGGTGGTACTCGGATATTGCCATATCCTAAAAGTAGTACAATGTGTGAAAAGGTTGAAAAGTCCTGGTCTAAAGCTATAATGTAGAAAACTTTAAACCCAGAAGTAACAAGAAGAGCATTAATCAAAGACCAGGATATTAGTTTGAATAAGTAAAGGTAAATTAAGAAAAAGTACAGAAATGGGATGCAACGTTTTAGAATTTTTTCTAGCATTATTCATTAATATCACAGAAACGGAATCTCTGGAATTACCTGTTACAGCCTATTTCTTCATTCTATCATCATTAATAAACTACATACCAATAGCAAAAATGATTTATGTCACATAGAATCACTCATTTCCTTTCTACACCAATAATGAACTGTATGTCACATACTTAAAATTATAACTCTTCCTAAACTAATTTTATTTTTAATCTCAGTAACAATCACATAGTATAATATTCCTTGACATATTATGAAACAAAAAAGTGATCCAAAGCAACTGCAGAAAGATAAAAAATGTTAAAACTACTAGGGAATTCTCTGTGGAATTATCAAGACAGGAAAACTTTGCAGATGTTACTGTCTCTCTAGAGGAATAAATGCTTGCATTTTGATATTCTCAACAGCTGGTTCCTGTTGCATGCCATCAGGATGATTCAGCTACCTACCAGAAACACCATAAGTAACGAATACATTTTTTTACAATTTCCAGGTTAGTCCAATTACTTTAATGAACTTATTTTTAATTAAATTATTACTAACAGCTTCAAGCTACTCAACTGTAGGGAAAGATGGCGAACCATAGTCACTCTTTTGTGATATGGTATATATCTTAATCTTTACTTAAATGTGGACATCCACACCTGTCCTTTAGTATTAGTTTGTTTATTTGTTTACCAAATTTATACAGCCACCCAACTCACATTGAATGTGACTTCAGGAGACTTACAAAAATTAAACTTTTTTTAAAAAAATACACCATATAATAAAACTAATTAAATAACCCACCCCAAACCAACACTCGCTAGTTCAGGCATGTCAAACTCACAATGTCACATGACATCACGAAACATATAGGGCCAGTTTTGCCATTGCCGGCAATGAGGTGGGCGCGGCTTCCACATGACATGTCCGGCCTGCGGGCGAGCAGTTTGACAACCCTGCCCTAGTTCCTGTATGACTGATTGGCAAATGGTATCTTTTAACCTGCATTCTTGTTTAGAGGTATGTATACATGGCCATTTGAAATTAATGTTCTTATTGCATACAAAATCACATCATTTTAATTTCTTTAGATACTAAGATAATTTAAACTAGAACTAAGTTCATGATGGAAAGTTTATTATCTATTCTTCTTCTACAGAAAGAATGAGTTGTTCAGTTGAGTATTGAAAGAGAGACAAAAGTTGCTACTTCCCATCTTAAATTCCAAACCAATGAGTTTAGCAAGTTAAATTTCCACTTCATCATTCTCTGCTCTGATTTTTAAAAAGAAAATCAAAAGCAGAACGTTACAATGGGAAGCAATGAACTAAATTGCTACAGTAGAACTCTCAGGTAGTGGAAGGAAGGAAGGAAGGAAGGAAGGAATGAAGGAAGGAAGGAAGGAAGGAAGGAAGGAAGGAAGGAAGGAAGGAAGGAAGGTTTACTATAATTACTATAACATAATCTAACAGTGTTTTTGCAATTATAATGACAGACCAAGGTGATTTTCAGGAAACAACAATAGCAATACCTTCCAGGACACAGAAATTACAAGTTCCTGTTTAACCTTTGCTAGTCTGATCCTAAGTACTCCCAGATTTTGCTTTGATTTTGCACCAATTCTGCTCTAGTGTTAGAAATTTAAGAAGAATTAGGAGTGTCTTGGTGACACTATGATTAATATATAATCAGCTTGAATTTTCTCTTTGTTGGATCTATTCATTTTCAAACTACTTGGAAAAAACAGTAAGAAGGAAATGAGCAAAGAAGAAATGCAATTTTTCAGCAGGTGCATACAGAAATTGTAGAGTTAAGACAGGATGGTTGTTTTTGGATAAGATTAATTACATGTACCTTCTTTATCTATTGCTTGCTGTGCATTAATGAATGCAGATTCATATTGCAGACCTTTACAATAAAATGTTCCTTTTCTTTCAAATCTTTTTAAAAGTATAAGCAGAGATCTCATAGGGCTTCAACTTTGTAAACATTTTTGTTAGAAAATATGTACTAAAATTACATAAGAGATACTCATTCAATAAAAAAGAGACACTTAAATGTAGCTAGTCAATTTTAACTGCTACCTTCTATTTTCCCTTTGAAAGAAATTCTAAAAACAGTAGCGTAGAAGATAAAAGACTGCTACAAGAAAGGGCAAGGACCTGTTCCTGAATTTGTCTAGGTCTAATGGTTTATGTTACAGAAGGACAGACTTTGACTAAACAGTAGAATAAATTGCATCATGACAAGAGCAATTTAACAAAAGATGGGGAAAGAATGGTAGAATCAGCTTTGCTGAAGGTTTTCTAGCAAACTATTGATATGCCTTCTCAATATCATGCAACATACCTTAGTTTTGGATTTCTTGCACTGAGGAAGACATTAGATTAGATGATTTAAAAATCCAGTTTAATTCTAATCTCCAGAGTATACACATTTATTTTGTTCAGGATGCAATCATTTTAATTACTGTTTTACATTAATTGCGTAAACTATGCAATTACAACATGATTTGTGTAAAAAAGTCATAAAAATATTTTCTTTTTCTATGCCATTATAGAAAAATGATTTCTCGGTAAAGGAAAATTTAAAAATGAATTGAAGCTATTTTGTTTTCTAGAATCAGAAAATACTTAATAAATTTTGTTGTAAGAAAAACTCACATGTAACTTTAAAATATAAAAAATGTATAATTTATTTTATCGTGAGAAAGCAGGGCTAGATGAAACAAAAGTTGGAATTAAGATTGCCAGGAGAAATATCAACAATTTAAGATATGCAGATGATACCACTCTAACGGCAGAAAGTGAAGAGGAACTAAAGAGCCTCTTGATGCGGATGAAGAAGGAGAGTGCAAAAGTTGGCTTGAAACTCAACATTAAGAAAACCAAAATCATGGCATCTGGCCCTCTCAATTCCTGACAAATAGATGGGGAAGAAATGGAGGTAGTGACAGATTTTATTTTTTCTGGGCTCCAAGATCACCTCAGATGGGGACTGCAGCCAAGAAATTAAAAGACGCTTGCTCCTGGGGAGGAAAGCTATGGCAACTCTAGACAGCATTCTAAAAAGCAGAGACATCACCCTGCCAACAAAAGTGCGTATAGTCCAGGCCATGGTTTTCCCAGTTGCAATGTATGGCTGTGAAAGTTGGACCACAAGAAAGGCTGAGCGCCAAAGAATTGAGGCCTTTGAACTATGGTGCTGGAGAAGACTCCTGCGAGTCCCTTGGACGGCAAGGCGTTCAAACCGGTCAGTCCTAGAAGAGATCAACCCCGACTGCTCTTTAGAAGGCCAGATCCTGAAGTTGAAACTCAAATACTTTGGCCACCTAATGAGAAGGAAGGACTCACTGGAGAAGGCCTAATGCTGGGAAAGATTGAGGGCAATAGAAGAAGGGGACGACAGAGAATGAGATGGCTGGATGGAGTCACTGAAGCAGTAGGTGTGAACTTAAATGGACTCCAGAAAATGGTAGAGGACAGGAAGACCTGGAGGAACGTTGTCCATGGGGTCGCGATGGGTCGGACACGACTTCGCAATTAACAACAACAACAACATAATTTATTTTTGTTTAATGTAATGTAAGAATGCCACCATTAATATTTTCATATAATTATTCTGTAAGAAAAGCCTTTATGTATATTCTGTGAAGCCAGCCACTGCTAGTATACATATAGATCATATTTTACGTACTGAAATATTTTACCATGAAACAATTTTGGGTTTTCAAACATACAAAATATATTATTAATGTTCGTACACATATAGCATAAATATTGATAATATGGGGATGAAAGCTACAGTTTTAAATATTTTTTTTCTCCTTGAATAGAGCCTGGATTAGGGCTGTATCTCTGCCAATTGATCTTCTCAACATTTAAGCACAGATAAATGGCAGTATCTTCACCATCTTCAAAAAAAAGCATTCTACATACCATATTTCTGAATGATTATGCATTAATGGCTTCTGGGGTGGGTTTAAAATAAATAAATGACATGAAGTACATGACAAAAATACATGAAATAGAAAATATAACAAATGAAGTAACCCCAACTTACATTTGAAGAACCAGTGTAGGCCCTGTAATTAAAACAAGAGCTCACAGGATGAACGTCTGCAAATTCTGCTCTGGCTCTTATGTAGCTTTGCCAACATGGACCTCAACAAAGCTGTGTGACAATACTTGTTTACCTGTAAAATAGAATGCATTTACTTTAATATTTATAGGACAACCCCTGGAAATTTATTAATAATTCTAAGGAATTTACAAAAGTTCATAAACTGCTTATTGCAAACAAATATCTGCAAATTAAACAAAAACAGATTTGAAAGGTTTTATTAAACAATGCTTTTATTTCAAACACAGTGAGGAGAACTTTCAAGAAAAAAAACCCTATTTCTTAGTTGTTGATAAAATGGTAAAGCCTGATGCACTTCCACATTTAAAGATTCTGTAACAAGAGTTTATAGATTATGAAGGGTAGAAAGAAAATAAACCTTTCCTACAGAATTAGTGACACCATGAACACACACACACACACACACAAACACACACACAGAGTAAGGAAAAGGCATAACCTAATATATGCAGGATGTTCAATACTTTAAAGTCTTTCCTAGCATTTAGAAATGGGCCTAGAAAGCAAACAAGCAATCAGTGCAGGTGTGTTAAGAAAAGAGTAATTTGCCTCTTATGGCTCATCTACATACGTTAGTGGGCTGCAGAATTTTGAATTAGCCGCAATTTCTGAACAATCTTTAAAGATAACCACACCTAGTATATTGCAGTAATCCACATGGGAAATTGTTGTAACCTGAATTTCCTGAACCAAAACCCTGATTTGATGGAAATGACTGCATGCAACTTATCAGACTGATAAAAGGCACTAATCAAATACACAACTGCTATCTAGGAACCTTGCAACAATATAGGTTTTAACAAGTGCTCCAGTATACAAAATGTGTTCTTTATGGGAAATATAACCATATCAAAGCCACGCCAGCTTCAGGCAATTTTGTCTTGTCTACATTAATCTTTAGTAACTCACTTATATCTTCATTCAGGTATTTCCTCAAGAAAAATGTCTGTTTTTGATTTGATTGAAATGAAATCAGAAATGTTATCACAAAACTGATGTCAGAATTCTCAAGAAACAGAAATAAATTCCCAGCAATTAAATACTAAAAAACCCAAAAGTAATATAAATAACAAAATAATACAACAATGAATAACAATTTAAGTCAATAGAATTCTTTGAAGGGTCTTGAAGTTTTTTTTAATGATGATTTTATCAAGTATTGTAAATCTGTAGTTGAAGTTACTGAACTACAACTCCCAAAATTTCCTACCAATGGCCAGGTTGATTCAACAACATATGATGGATTAAAGTTTTCATTCAAGATTCAGATTTGAGGATATTATCATAAAAGTAAATATCACTAATTATTATGGAATTGTTTTGAGAATGTAGAAGGTTTTTTTAAAAAAAATAATGATTCTATCAGGTATTCTGAATCTGTAGTTGATGTTACTGAACTACAGCTTCCAACATTCCCCAACAATGGCCAAGTTGATTCAACAAGATATGATGTGTTAAAGTTCTTAACTCTAAATGTGCATCCTCATTCATGTTCTCCTATATATATGTTCATTTTGATAACAGCTTGTTATATGCATTTATAGCTTATTTTTAAATAGTTTATCCAACTGAATTTTTAAAAAGAATCTATGAAATTAAAAGTTAATAATATATATATTTTTTTCTTGTTTCATAATTTTAAAGTGCACGTCATTTTTTGAAATTAATTATCATGTAGCAAAATTCTGATGCAGATATCTACATATATCTAGTATATAAAAGGAGTGTAAGAGGAAGAGGAAAAAAGGGATTCCAATCAGTGAGAAAGTTTAAGTAAAAAGTTAAGTAAAATTCAACTTTCTTTTAACAAAAAGCCTTCATGTATTCCACTATTATTTCAGGGAAAAAATGAATGTCCGGAGGATAAAATGAATAGAATTTGTCCTATTTTGCTTGCTATATCCTTAATACATTGTCATACTTAAGATTGCTGTATGAACTCTATAACGCTAAAAATATGTTTTAGGACTCAGAAAGTACTTAATTTCTTTTTAAAGAAAAACAACAGCTGATCCCCTCCCAGGCAAAGCTTTTGGCAACTTTCTAAACACACATGATTTTCTTTGGTATATCCTGATTCTCTGGCCAGAAAAATAATTATAGAACTTATTTGCTGCAGGAAAGGAGAAGAAACTGTTTCTCACGCTATATCCGTATGCTTTCTGGGATACGTGATAGAGATTAACAGGTTAGAGAGAAATTTTATTATTTAGAGTAATGAAAAGACTGCATTAACAGACTAATTCCTTTGCTACTCATAATATGGTCAGAACTTTAAAAGGCTGCCAGAGTATAAAACAAGTGTTTCAGGTATGCCAAGAGAATTCTTAATAGAATGACCCAGTTCAATTCAAATTTCACTGAAAACAATAGAGGGTATAGACACATCTCAGCCTGTAATATAAAAATTATATTCTGTAACTTCAGGAAAAAAAGTTAAGAAAAAAATGGGCAATATACAACACAAAAAGAAGTTGAATAGTAAGATTTAAATTTATTATTATATTATATTATATTTATTTATTAGCCTCAAAACCTAAGGCAGTGTTGAACTGAACCAATGTAAAATTGTTAAGACATACCAAGTATTTTTCAAACAATATATTTTAAAAAGGCAATGCTATATTATGCTGTATTATGAATTAACAATGGGGAAGATATTATAGTTTAATATAAAATCACACCTATACTCCTTTGACATTATTTTGTCCAATTATTCTTAAGTAGTAAGGACAATATATAGTGTGTGCAAGTATTACATGAAAACAATCAAAGTACCAACAGTACAACCTTATGGAAAACTAAGCTTTGGTTTGAAGAAACCATGTATAGTAAATAAGATTACAGTCACTGAGTCCCAGAAAGAAATGCTATATTACTTATAAATATTACTTATGTAATCCAAACTACAAAGCTTCCTGTGATAAGCCTCAGTAGTAATTCACCACTATGTTTTAGTTTTATAGGATCTACTATATTTCAGGAAGATATTTCATTATAAATCTTTAAAACTTTAAACCTTATTATGCTAAAAGAGAATCTATTATCTTTTTAGTAGTTATCTTGCTACAGGCCTTTAAACTACACTGATGTGTACCAATGACACACATGTAACATAATCTAGTTTTCCACTTGGCAAAAATCCAGCCATATATATTTTGAAAGTTTATCACAGACTTCCATGTTCATTACTAAACAAAACAAATTCAGTTAAGCGTGAACATATAAAATTTCTTTCTATTGTTAAAGCTCTCAATTGTAATTTTCCTCTCATTTCTGTATTGATTGACAAATCAACAAAAGTAACACTTATTGCAGGGTAGGAAAATATTTATCTTTCCAAAGGACAAACTTAAGTTTTTCAAGAAAATATTATCAGATAAAGTGAACAGTAAACATATACATTGAATAGCTGTCACTGTCAAATTGTTAGGAATTCAGAAAATCAGAAGACAGAGTTTCTTCCTATTCTTGCTTATGACAGAATGTCACAAATATGCATTACATGCTGAATAGTGTAGAATAGTTATACTCACAGCCTTGACATATATAGGTAGATAAATCAATGAATGATGTAATTATGGTACACATAAAAACACATAATATGTACATCATGTATTGTGCTTACTTCAAAATCATTTTTTATAAACAGGAAAAATTAATATGTCGATATGAATGTCATATTGACATATTAACCAAGCCAAATCTTTTCATTTAATTTCAGTTTCCTCAGTCATATTTATATGGCAGAGAATAAGTCAAGAGGGAAGAAAGGAAATATTTGAAAATGGCTTAAAATTATTACAAGGGGTCATAATTTCTGAAGAATAGTCTGCTTTTGCAGGATATGAAGTATGATACTATAATGTCAACACTGGACTTACTTTTTGTTAAAATAAATAAACAGCATTAAGATGATTCATTTATATTTTCTCAACAATTCTTACTTCACAGTTTATACATTACTACTTGTTTGAGAACTGAGACTGTGGAAGCTGAATAAGGATACCTAGTAAATATAGCTAAAGGAAATTTGAAATGCAAGTTTCCCATTCACCTCTTCAGATATTTTATGTATGTATGTATGTATGTATGTATGTATGTATGTATCCCTGAAAGTGTTCTAATTTGATTGTTTGATTGGGGAAAATCAGAAAAAGAAGTTAGAAAAAAATTACGATCTCAGAATTTTAAACTAGTAGTGTTAATGGAAACAGAGTTAATAAAAGCCAGTATATAAATGATTAATGAGACACAGATAATACACATCCAATTTGGCTCACAAAATTAAAATATATCTCTTGATTCAAAATGGAACATGGGATCTTTAATTTTGGGTAAAAATTAATTCTAGATAAATAAACATTTATTTTGTCAAATATGTATACATTGTATATAGTATACATATGCAGTAACAAGTTGGACTTGAAGGCGCTTCATGCAAAAATCTTACAATTTTAGAAGACAGTATGGAAAAATAGTATTTGTTAAAGAAGAAGAGATAAATTCTTTGATTTGTTATACAGTTCTCTGATTATCATACAGACTTCTCACATATCCCAATTCTGTACAATTTTATATAAAAGACTGTTGGTCATATAACTTTGTTTCAAGTAAATATACATAGGAAACAGATAGAAGCATAAAATGTTTTCAATGACAGCATTCCAAATGGCAACTTTATTAATATTTAGATTTCCTGGAATTATATGTTAAATTATATGAAATAATAAGGCAAGTGTAACATAAAAACGGATGTAATAAATTAAATTTATAATCTCTAAATATACCCTATTATAGGGGGGAAAAACACTTAATAACTTTTCTGGGAAGTTCAGCAAGGGAGAAATAAAGATTAGAAACATTTTACTTTCCTAAAGTATTTCAAACTTTCTAAGACTTGTGTGCCTTTTTCTTCTACCTGCAGAAATAAATAATTTCAAAATGCATACATTTTTCATGCTACTTTAAGTAATATTGTAAGTTTTTTTCTTTGTTTTCTCACAGGACTTTACTTCTGGCTGAACTTCCACTATAATTCACTTGGATACA